GAGGCGGGTGTCCTCGCCCCACTTGGTCTTGGAGTAGTTCTTGGGCAGCGGGATGAGGTCGTCCTTCTTGCCCCGACGACGACCCCGGCGACGACGACGCTGCTGACGCTGCAGACGTCGCTGACGACGACGCTCCTCCCGGGCAGCTTCCTCCTCCTGCTGAGAAAGATAATGTCAGGAAGAAGAGGAGGAGGGAGAAACGAGAAGATAAAAATAATGGTTTAGAAGTAGGGAGTGTTAGTGAACAACAGAAAATAGATGTGATCTTAATGTGTATTGTATGTGTATGTGTATGTGTATATGTGCGTGTGTGTGTGTGTGTGTGTGTGTGTGTGTGCATGTGTATGTGTATATGTGCGTGTGTGTGTGCATGTGTATGTGTATATGTGCGTGTGTGTGTGTGTGGGGGGGGGGGTACACCGCAACACTGCGGGCTGTACAGACGTACCTGAGGTAGGAGAGGCGTGAAGGGATGGTGTTCGTGAGGGAGTGGCAGCTCGTTGGTGAGAAGGGCGTGGGTGTGGGCGTTCCCCACGCCCATGCCACCCTCTACCATCTCCACGTCCTCCCACGGGTCCTCCAGGGATCTTCGCTCCCGCACCAGCTCTGCATCCATGTATAGATAAAACACACCTACATTAATGGATACCTGTATATAGAACCCTGACTAGCTAGGTACAGGAACAAGGGTACAGGAGCGGGAGGCACAGGTGCTAAGGATAAAGAAACAGGTGATGAAGACATTTACTAAGTCACGTTACTGAGCGGCGGAAGCAAGCACCCACAATATTGTGATTTGTACAAGATTTGCAGCCACGGCTTTCATTTGTGAATAACACACGTTGATTAACCTGCTGATGGAAATTACCCCGAACTACATCAATTAATTAGCCTGCTAATTTGGATTAACACACGCCACTAGAGTTAACTAACCTGATACAGTAGCAATAGCATTCGCTCAACGGGACCTAGCCTGATAATATAAATTAATATAATCATTATTAGAGTTAATTACTCTGATAATATAAACTGCCACGCACTTTGTAAGTTAATTAACCTGCTAGTGTAAATGAAAAAATATGCTGCTTAACTAGCATTCAACATAAGAGTTAGCTAAGTTGAACAATTACCTGTTGAATTAGTGGAAGAAATCTGGCGAGCATAGCGACTGTAGTGGGTTGAAGACGCCTTGTGGTGGGAGGAGGACTTTCTGTGGGTGTTCCTGGCGCGGGCGTGGTGTGGCCGTGGGCGTGGGTGCGGGCGGGAGAGGTTGAGAGCAGCCAGGCCCAGGGCAGACAGGTCGAGGATAGCAGAATCGCTGCTGTAGAGCAGCAGCAGCGGAAGGGTCTTAGAGGAGGTGACTTTTGCTTTCATCCTTGTGGTCTTGGGGGTCTTCTCATCCCCGCCGCCCGTCTTGAGGTAGCGCCCACGTCGTAATTCTTCCACCCGCACGCCCATACGCCCACGGTGTGCTCGTCCCCTGCTGCCTGCCAAAGCTTCCTTCACGGCTCGTGTCACCTCCACATCCTAGAACAGTGTCAGTGTTTACAACATTCTAACTCACAGAACACTGTCAGTGTTTACAACATTCTAACTCACAGAACAGTGTCAGTGTTTAAAACATTCTAACTCACAGAACAGTGTCAGTGTTTACAACATTCTAGCATTCTTGTCATAAAATACCTCACTATCTATCAACATCAAAACAGTGCTTAAATTTAAAAAAATAGATATAGCTAAAATAAATTCTACATCTTTTCTACATTTTCAAATCTTAGAAAAATAAGTAATTTGTAGACACGATGGGGCCTTATATCACGAAAGAGGATTCATTACTAAATTAAATTTAGTGATGTTTACAATGGGGAAAGAAAGAATTTTATTAACAGAAGCACTAGGAATAATATATAACTGGAACCCAAGAGAAGTAAGATATTGATAGTCATTGTTTTGGTTGGATAGTTAATGGAATTTTAAGCTGGTTGACTACACGAGGGTTATTATGGTTGTATGTCACTTGTCCACCACCAGTCAAAAACATTTTAATCCTCAAAACAGAATCAGAGTAAACTCTCAGTGTATATACACTGAGACGTACACTTCTCAGTGTGTATACTGTATATCCACGTACAGTGTTATTTATCGTCATATATTATTACTGTGATCTCTTACTTCCAACAATATTATTGTAAAATATTAGTTGAAAGACACCTCAACACTGGGCTATTTAGGTTACGATGGTTTATCATAGATTAATGCTAATTAACACTACTTAACTAATTATAGAACACACCAACCCCAGTAAACGCAACAGTACATAACGTCGAGAGTGCAAGTCAATGTGTGGGTACTGTAGATTATTATTATAATCAAGGGGGAAGCGCTAAACCCGGAGGATTATACAGCGCCTGGGGGGGGGATGTGGAAGGCATTCAGGCTTAATTCGGGGAACTGGAGCACAGATCCAATTCCCTAAATCAAGAGCCCCTCACCAACATCAAGGAACCTTCCTTGGGTACTGTAGAGTGCTGCCACCCTACACACTCATGGTATGGTAAACAAACTTTACCTCTGTATCAACAACTTGCTCACGAATACGAAACAACGGCTAAGACTGAAAGGAGAAGTGTCTGAGTGGATAGACGTAACAAAGTTCCTGAGAAATCGACGACGGGTTAGGTTAGATAAGGTTTGTCAGGAAACAGGACAAGTGTTTCCTGACGCGGGTCTTAGTCATATGATGACCCGCAGCTGGAGCTATTGGTCATTTGTCCGAGGTCTTCCGATGGCTTAACGGTCCACCCCTTTGAAAATTATGGTTATGATGATCCACAGGTGACAAGGGTCGTGCTCTATCTGACAGAATTAGACTACACAAGTGTTCGCCTTTCTGATACCAACAACTCTCTGTTGCATCAAAACGGAGACTGTAGCCAATCCATTATCTGGTTCTCTGGTAAACTGTCAATCAATCTTCTTCATACAGGCAGTCATTCAGATACACAACATTCTTAGCAAGTTGATGAATAAGACTCATGTGCAAGGGTATCTTCAATGTTGAAGCGTTTCAACAATAAAGATACACAACTGTTGCATATGTGTCTTACTCATCAACTTCTCGGTATTTTATGCCATTTTTAACATTCCTAACAGAAATATTACTGCTAGGTTTGTATCTGTTGATACTTGCCTCTCCCAGTATATTGTCAAGCGAATATTAAAAAGGTATAAAATACCTAACACATTGTCAAGTGTTGTAATCTTATGATGGGTGACTTAATCTTGACCTCAGCTCGATTCACCAATCTCCTAACGTCTTCACCTGTCTGGTTTACTGTTCTTCTCTCTCTCAGTTGTGATAATGACTCAAAGTGGATCGAAACGTAGTCTAAAGATTTATGTCCAATTTGTGGATGTGTTATGAATCTATTTATCTGGATGTGACAAGTGGTTTATCTTCGACTGACCATGAACCACTCGGGATATATTTTAAAGGGACGATAAATTTGTGGGTTTACATCGTACTTAGCTCCTAAAGAAATCCCTCCCCCTTCCCCTCCTTACCTTCGCCAGCTTGACGCCCGATGGTCATGAGGGGCGTGGGGGGGTTTGGTGTCGCGGGCGTTAAGGAAAATAGAGGAAAATTCCTGGAGGGGCTTTGCATTTAAGGGGGAAATGTGCAGCCGGCCCCTAGCACGTGCTCCTCATTGAGCCAGGAAACCTGGTCATAAAAGCGAGCCGGGGAAACTTGGTACACCGGGGAGTCCCTCGCTGTCCCCCAAGCCCTTTCCCCCTGCAAACAAAAAGGTAAAAAAGGTCAGTACATCTGTTCAATTATAACCCCTTCGTCCCCAAAAATTTGAGTAAAATTTTTGGAGGGCAATAAAAACCCCCAAGGGAAGCGTTTTAAAATGAAAGGGGGTAAACCAGCACATGGAGAATTGGGGGCGTCGGGTTTATGCCCCCCCCAAGAAACACAAGGCGAGGTCGATTTTCCTAAATCGGGGCCCCCTCGCCTGTTTAAAGGCCCCTTCATTGAGGGAGAACGAAAAAACCCCTTTAAAAAATAATATCAAGCAAAAACGACATCTGTGGGGAAAAAAAAAATGATAAGAAAAAAAAATTGGGGGTTTTGTGTGTGTGTGTGTGTACTCACCAATTGTACTCCCCCTAATTGGGTTGAAAGGGGGTCGAGCCCTCAGCCCTGGCCCCCCCTCTTCATGATCGCTAGGGAAACCCTCTTTCTTGCTTCCTGATTTTTGTCATACCTTTTTCTTAAAACTATGGGGGGTTCCTCCCTTTCCATTTTACTTCATTGCTAGGCTTTTTCCATTTTCCCTGACAATTTCTTTTAATGAAAAAATACTTCCAAAACGTCCTGTGACTCGTCTGAGTCTTCAGTTTCCCATTTGGGGGCCCCCCTTGTCCCTGGTCCCCTCTTTTGGAACATTCCATCTTGTCCCCTTGTCTATTCCCCGCAGAAAATTTTTGAAAGGTCTTTTATCATGTCCCCCCTGACCCTTCTGCCCTCCAGTGTCGTCGTCCGTTTTTCCCTTAAACCTTTCCTCGTACCGAAAAATTCCCCTTGAGCCCTGGGACTACCCTTTTTGGGAAAACCCTTTGAAACTTTCTCAAAATTTCCCTTGACGGGGTTTTTAAACCAGGTTTGGGTTCCAGAGGTGCTGCATACCCCCATAGGGGCCCAAAAATACACAGTGTACAGGGGTCTTGAACGTTTCCCTTTTTTAAGGTATCGGGAAGGGCAATTCCCCTTTTTTCCCGGGCCCCCTTTAATCTGCAGCGGTTATTTGGTTGGTGTGTTTCCCCGGGTGATGTGCTGGGTGTTATGGTCACCCCAAGGTCTTTCTCCCCCTGATTTGAGGTCTGAAATTTCTTTGTCCACCTAGCCTTACTCTGTCGCGGTCTTTTTTGCCCCCTCCCAATCTTCATGACTTTGCTTTTGGGGCGGGTTTGGAATTCGAAAAGGGCCATTTTTAAGGGACCACATGTCCACCTCTCCAGGTCTTTTTGGGGCAGTCCTCCTCACCCTCCTCCGTTTTAATTTCTCTTCAACTTCAAAAAAAAAAACGTCATCTGCGAACAGGGACATTTTCAGAGTCTATTCCTTTCATCATGTCGTTCAAATATAAAAATGGGCACTGGTCCAAAAAAACGGACCCCTGTGGGAAACCCCCTCGTAACAAGGGGCCCCCCTGTGAAAACCCCCTTTACGTACCATGACCGGTTTCTGCCTCCCGTCAGGGTTTTCCCCTTAAACCATTTTTCAGGCCCTTCCTTTTACTGTGCCTGATTTCCCCCAGCTTTGCACTAATCTCTTGGGGGAATGTGTCAAAGGGCCCTTTCCCGCGGGTTTGGAAAAAAGGAAAAAAACTACCCAACCCTCTCTCTTGTGTCTTACTTCTGTTCCTTTTCATAAAAAATCCAGGAGGTTTGTGATACAAGATTTGCCTTCCCTGAACCCCCTGCTGGTTTTTATTTTAATCTTGTTCCTTTCCCGGTTTCGACCACTCTTCCCCCGAAAAATCCTTTTTCCCCTGACTTTGCCAAAACCCCATAAAATGTCAGAGACACAGGGGGTGTGTTTGTGCCCCGTTTCTGTTTTCCCCTTTTTTAAATATGGGGACTACATTTGCTGTCTTCCATTTTTCAGGGGATTCCCAGTTTTAAGGGATGTGTTGAAGATTGTGGTTAAGGGAACACAGCATCTCTGCTCCTTCTCTAAGGAAACCCCTTTGGGGGGATGGGTTTTCTGGTCCCATCGCCTTTTAGGTGTCAAGGTCCTTAAGGCTTCTTCCAAAACCCCCTCCTCAGTTGTTTTTGTAAAGTCATCCCCCCTTGTTGGTTATTCCCCCTTTTGTTCCCCCTTTTGTTCTGTCTTTCCCCCAGCCCTTCCGTCTTACTGTAAAAACTTTTCCCTTAAAACTCCTGTTCAACCCCCTCACTTTCCTCCTAAAAAAATTTTTTTTTGGGTTCTCCCCCCCTTTGTCCTTAATCTGTTAACCCGGTCTTGACTGTTGTCTTCCCCCTGATGTGGCATACAACAAATTTCGGGCATTTTTGATTTCGTTTCAAAGTCATTTTCATACTGTCTTGGGGCCCCCCTCCTTAAACCCGTGCGTATCATTTCCTGGCTCTGCGAAATGATTTTTCCCCCATTTTTGTTTTTTGGGCTCTGCCTTCTGTTAAAAATTTTTTCCCTTCTCTATTTCACTTTTTTTTGCCCCCTTTCCAAAACCCTCGGGTTTTAACCCGGAGCTTGTTCTGGGCTTCCCCTTGTTACTGTTTTCCCTTGGGAATTTTAACCTTTCCCCCTCCTCCTTGCATTTGTTTTCTACATATTCCATCATTTCATTTATGGTTACCCCGCCAGTTTTCTGTCCCCCCTGTGTGAGTGGGGTGTGTGTGTGTGGTGGTGTGTGTGTGTGTGTGTGTGTGTGTGGGGTTTTTGTGTGTCTGTGTGTCTTGTGTACACTGAAAATGCAGCTCTAGGTGTGTTTACACTTGCTTCATATAGAACCAACATTATGTATAGGAGATAATACACTCATCTCAATGATGACGGCCACAGACAAGGCTCGAGAACTTCTGGACGTGGCGCAGAAAAAGCGAATGGTTACCATTATTTACCTGTGAACACGTTGAG